TCATGCGATAATAATGACTTTATGTCTATTTTTTAAAACTTAAATATAAATTTATACACACATATATATATTACGGTATTCGAATTAAGATCACTCAATAATAATCTTTTTTTTAATCAACAATTTTTTATACAATGTGGTTAACAAGTATTGTTCATATAAGAGACTAGAACAATTATTTTCTCGTCTAGAATTATTGTTATAGTACACCATATACAACGATCGAATTACTTAACAATTTTTAAAAGACGTTGAGATTACACAATATTTTGTAAAAGATACCGTTCATATTATAACATTGTTAGTTTAAGAATATACATTGGGATCGACATGGGTCGGGTTTTTGGTCCACCCGACTTGATCTGAGAACAATAAATCCTCCACTCGAGATCTGATTCGACCCGATCAAAACAAGATTCCACCTAATCCGAACCCGACCTGATATATAACTTAAAAACGACCCGATCCGAAATAATAAAAAAATATTATAGATTGATATTATTGTAATTATTCTTAATTATATAAGTAAAATTATATAATTTTTTTACCATAAACCCAAACATGACCGGACCCGAACATCAGATGCATCTTAAAAATAAGAAGATGAATTTTTCATTAATTTTTGTGACAATTTCGAGTAGTTCATACAGCATATTTAATCATTAAGATCTCATCACGAGTTCATATCTAAAATTATTGAATGGGATAGATACATTGAATCATGTCCCGCGTTGAAAAAGTCTACTTAATGCCGACATTTAGATTTGGCATGCGCCGCCGCCGCCATTGGACATTCAGCACAAGCAAACACTGTATGTGTTCTTGTGTTTGAACACTTGTCAAAGGTTTTTATTCACCAATTTTTCCAAAGATGTCGAAGTCTACTAATCATTAGAGGGAACGTCATGTTTAGCAATGAAATCTATATATTTTAATATTTTTCTTATAATCATATTTAAAGTATTTTTATGCAATATTTAAAGTATTTTAAATTCACATAAATCTATACACAAAATTAATATATAATATAATTATATACATAAAATTATTTTTAATTTAATTTTAAAGAAAAATAATATTTGAACTATATATACTCTTCTAGTTTTTAAATTTAAACACGTTTAAACTTACAATCTCTTGAATATTATAATAATATCAATTAAATTAATGTTCAGTAAAAAATGTAACACCTATATAGTTACACTGTTAAAGTATTTGTATTATATAGTAAATAATAGAAAATTTTAAAATTTATATTATTGACTATTTCCATCGTATCAATCATATTACATTAATTGAACTATTTATTTAACACTTTCACATATAATTAATACAATTAAATTTTAAATTTCAAATATCTACTTATAAAAGATAATATGAAAAAAACAATAATATATTTTTGGGTAGAGTACACAAATGGTCCCTAAGTATAGGGTGATGCTTTTGTTGAATCCCATGACTATTAAAAGTTACAAAATAGTCACCGAGTATTTATATATTCCAAACTCATAATTTTCTGTTTAAAAATCGATATCCTTATAAGCTGAACATTAACTTGTTTGTCTAAGATATGATAAAATCATATTTTAAAAATACCTACTGGTATCGTCGTTGCTTTCGAGCACTGACTCGATGATATAATATTTTAAGCTCTGTCTTGAATGATATAATGTAAACATAGAACCGATCTATAAAATACAACTCAAACGAGTTTAAGATCAAATTTTATCATATCTTAATCAACATGTTAATGTTCATCTTAGACGATCAAATTTTTTAAAAATAAAAAGAGAACGAATTTGGAAAATATGAACAGTCGGATGATCATTTCGTAACTTTTAATAGTCGAATGTCTCAACAAAACAATGTCCTATAGTAAAAGGATCATTTTATAACTTTTAATAATCGAATGACTTAATAAAGTAGTATCATATAACCGGGTGATCATTTGTGTAATTTATCCTATATTTGTTTTTCAAAAACACTCGAATATAAATTCAATCATTATCCTTTTCTTTTCGCATGTGCATCTACATAGTCAATGGCACTTTCATGTCATGGCTGACATGGAGACCGGTTGCTTTAGCTGTCAATAATTTACACACCGGCTACATGGCAGTGACGAGACGGTTCTGATAACCAAATCGTGTCCTAATTCAATTGGTCCCTCGATTTACCATATTTGACTGTGACATACACAATTGTGTTGCCACCGTAAGTAAAGGTGATACAGCCACGTCGCCAAAAAATTATTAATTCCACGATTGTTCATCATTTATCTAACCTATTTGGCGAAATCATTTGGAGTGTGGAACAAGTGCAAAAAGATTGAAATAACGGTTTTCGGCGTTTCCCGACCCGCTTCGTTTATCCTTATCCAGGTGAACCCGGATACGCAGGGCCGTAGCTAAATTGTTGGAGGTTCTATGTAAATTTTTATAAAGGACTTTTAGATTTTGAACTTATTTTTTTGAAATAATAAATGATTAATTTTACTAACTTAAAAAATAGGGGCTCACTTGCATTGTTTTTTCCAAAAATAATTTTGCTTGTTAACGATATTTGAACTTAGGATCAACAAAATCATGTGTCTAATGATCTAACCACTACTCTATACTTATTTTTATGCTTTTTAATGGCAACAACTGATATATACACTTTATTTCGGGGTTTCTATTTTTTGAAGCCCTACGCTGTCGCGCACTATGCGCTGATTCAGCCACGCCCATGCGGACACGTCAGAGATTTGATTTTGTTTTTTTATATATATATTAAATAATTTGATTATAAAAGAATGCATTTTCAGAAAATTTTTAATTTGTTTATAATATATTTATATATTTTTTAAAAAATAATGTTCTTTTATCATTAAAATCATTTAATAAATTTATTTCAGATTATGTATAATTTTATATATTATTAAATGAATATGCATTATTACATATCAATTCTTGAAAATAGATGACTAATTTATTTACTATCAACTTTAAAAGTAATTAATTATTGTTTTAATGAATTATTTTATTAGGTTTACATAAAATTGATTGACGTTTAACAAAATTAACTTTAAAATGTTATTTTTCCTAAAGATTATGGATTTAAATAGCTGCGTTTGTAGAATGCGTACGCGTTATCATGTTAAGAAAATTATGAACATATATTATTTTGTAATCATTTTAAATTATCCAAAACTTTTTCTATTTTAATAAATATTAAACGTAATATTTATTATATTTACCATAATTATATAGTACTGATAAAAAACGATAACATCACGATTAATTGTTTTTTATTATTTATTTTTAAAATAAATAAATGCTAAATTATTATTTTTAGAGGGGCCTAAAAAAATTTCGTCATCAATTTAATTAATACAATGTAAAAAATATAATTAATATATTCGTATAGTTACAATAAAAACCAATCATTATAAAACATAAACATATAACTTGATAATTATAATACATTCAAACAAAACCATGCATAATAAGATTTAAATCAAAATGGATAACAACCATCCCTAAACTATTGGTGTAGCTTAGTTTGTGCATACGTAAATAACATTTTCAAATAAAATATGAAAAATAAATAATTTTATTGTCAAGTATGTTTAAAAGTAAATTAATAATTCTATTCCAAAATCTAAATAATTAATTATGATGAACATAATTACTAATATTTAATAATCTTATGTTATTATTTGATGTCATTTGGTTAGTGACTATTAACGATTTTGAAATTGTACTCATAGTTTTGTAGGTTGACTGTATTAATGTCAATAACCTGATTTAAATAAGAAAGATACTAACATTTTCTGAATATAATAATTACATATTTAATTTATACACACAAATAATCATGTATTTAATTTATTGATTAATTTCAATTAAATATTACAATAATTACACTTGTAGTACTGATGATGACTAGTCCTAATCCACGGCCAAATAGTCGGCTCGGAAACCAAACCAATAAATAAAAGGCTAAACTATATATTTAGTCATACAACTTTCATATTGATTCTAATTTGATAATTTAATTTGTTTTAAATCATACCTAAGGTCGTATTTTGATCATCTACCATTAAAAGAAAATAGAACTAATGATGTGATAATTACTTTTTCAGTAATGACGTGACATTATTTTATAGAGACACATCAAGATCACTATTAGTTCTTTAATAGCAGGTGTCCAAAATGTAGTTTTATATATAATTTAAAAAAATAATTAAATGACCAAACGTGGGTAATACTTGAGTAACTAAATATATATGTTACTCTAAATAAGAAAATAAGATAAAATACACAAATGACACTTGAAAAAGGGAATTAATTTGTTAAGTCTCTACTATTAAAAATTATAAAATAGTTCTCTGACTATAAGATGTTGTTTTGTCGAGTCTCAAACTATTAAAAGTTACAATATGATCACTGACTATTTATATATTTCAAACTAATCATTTTTTTTTAAATAATGATAGTTTGAGCTAGACATGAATGAGATATATTAAAATATGATCTTAGAATTTCAAACGATTATAATATCTTAGTCAGTATGTTAATGTTCAACTTAAATAACCTTCAATTTCTTTATAGAATAAGGACGAATTTAAAACATATGAATAATTTAATAATTATTTCATAATTTTTAATAGTTAAACGGTTCAACGAAACAACTTTATATGATCATAAGATCATTTTATAACTTTCAATATAGATTAAACATAATCTTATAATCGGAAGACTGTAGTTTATCCTTAAAAAAAAAAATAATGTCGCCAGATCAAAAGCCGATTTATTACACGAATCTCAAGGACGCCTTTTGTTTTCGAACACAAAGTGTCTGAGCTCCAGTCCAAAACAAATAGCGTAAGCAGTGACAAAATCCGGCGCATGTGGGTCCTTCACCCCCTATAAATAAATCGCTCTCCCTTATTGTTTAAGTTTCAAGCCCCGTCACTACATACATTAGAAAAGAAAAAGAAGGAAAGGTTGCAGGTGAGGGTAAAAAATAAATATCAAGGTAAAAAAAATGACTGCGGCAGAGTTACAGTTGCAGTTACCAGCTGGTTTTCGGTTCCATCCAACGGACGAGGAGCTGGTGATGCACTATCTCTGCTGTAAATGTGCGTCGCAGTCGATCGCCGTTCCTATTATAGCCGAACTAGACCTTTACAAATTCGATCCTTGGGATCTGCCTGGTAAACTTTTAATTCTTTCTTTCTTTGATTTCTCTAAATCCTTGCGTTGTTTTTACAGTCTAAATTTATTAGATTTGTTATTTTTTGGATTTGTATTTACAGATTTGGCGTTGTACGGAGAGAAAGAATGGTATTTCTTTTCGCCGAGAGACAGGAAATATCCGAACGGTTCAAGGCCAAACCGTGCTGCTGGGTCTGGGTACTGGAAGGCAACCGGGGTTGATAAGTCGATTGGGAAACCGAAACCGGTCGGTATTAAAAAGGCCTTGGTGTTTTACTCCGGCAAAGCTCCGAAAGGAGAGAAAACTAATTGGATTATGCACGAGTATCGGTTAGCCGACGTTGACCGGTCGGTTCGCAAGAATAACAGCTTAAGGGTACAATTCAAAACTCTTGCCCTCGTCATTAGGGGTAGACCGTAGGTTTACATGCATGATAAATTACACAATGTGGTCCATCATCTAGTTTAATATTTAAATTCATCTAATTTAAACAATACATTATTTCTTTATTGATTTATTTTGCAGTTGGACGATTGGGTGTTGTGCCGGATTTACAACAAGAAATGTTATATCGAGAAGCAACCGCCGCCGCAAGGGAGCGTTACGAAAGAAGCCAGCGCGCCGGAGTTCGAGGACAAGAAGCCGGATATCGGGACACTCGGCAAGGATATGTGCGGTTTTTCACCGGCTGTGACGGCGACAGGTAGCGATTACGTGTGCTTCGACTCGTCGGAATCGGTGCCGATGGTTCACACGGACTCCAGCTGTTCGGAGCACGTGGTGTTGCCGGAGTTACCAACCGAGATTCAAAGCATTCCCAAATGGAAGGACGAATTGGGAAGTACTGGCAACAACAATATCCTCGATTCTCTTTATAATTACATGGATGCCACTCTGGATGTCGGATTTGCTTCGCAGATGCAGGGTAATAATAATCAGCTGTCGCCGCTCCAGGATATATTCATGTACCTGCAGAAGCCGTTGTTTTAGGGGAGAAAAATATGGCCGTGTAGATTGAAGAAATACTGTGTTTTGGCGTATCCCTGGGTAACACGAGGCTGAAAGTCCATGAGTGTACCGGTGGGCATGCGCGTAGATAAACAGTTAGAAAAAGAAATTGGGTAGATCGAAATTTGAAGATTTTCACCATTTTTTTAGATATAATAATCTTTGAACGTATTGTTTAAAAGCATGGACTGTACATACTGTTTTTGAATTTTACGTTAATCATAAATAGATAATGATTAATTATTAATATTATATAGTAACAAAAATTTTATCCGCTATCAAATTTAACCAATAAAAATAAAATATATATTTTTAAAAATGATTTACTATTCCGTCCACTGTTTTTAAAATAAATATTACTTATTTTTAAATATTGATTATCATTTGAAAATTATTGGTCTACATGTCCTTATATATTTTATGGGACATTAATATTTTTAAAGTATTAAACATAATATGTTAATTCAAAAGATATAGAAATTAGGACATGTTATTTAGTTAGATAAATTTAAAAAGATTCGTTTAAAAATTTAGTCAGTTATTAAGAAAGTTTTGCCATGATCAAGGAACCGAGAAAAATCATAATACCAAATACACATCGAGAAGTATGTTATAAAGTAAATTACAATATGATGAATATTTGAGTATATTGAATCGAATTAAATTAAATATATTTGTACGAGTTCAATTGTTTATAATATTACAATATTAAAATTAAATATATTTCTTCATAATCATATACTATATATATATTTCTTCATAATTTTGACATAAAATAAATTATGGATAAAAGAATAAATGAATCAATACTTCGATAAGAAGAAACAATTTATAATCATAAAATCTAATCGAATAAAACAAATGGTTAAAGACGGAGAAACGCATGGCATAATATTAAGAGGACAATTTTTTTATGACATTCCATTTTTGCTAGTTTGTGAAGTTTCTCCACCTTAACAAAAGAACTCTCTACCTATCCTACCCACATTCGTCGTTTCCAATGAAGTACTCGTGTCCGAGATAGTCGAACACGAGTATAATAACATGATCGTCGAACCATATAAAAGAATTTCTAGAAACAAATCGAGTATACCGTATCACCACCTCAAGTCCAGATAACAATACAGTACAACCACAGTGATGCATTTTTCCATGTGTAACTTATAGTATATAACTTGTTTACCTTGTATCGAACTTGTATTACCGAACAAATGTATATATTCACTACATATGATAGTATGAAGTCGTTGTACCGTCTTTCAATGGAACTTTATGTTTTAGGAGAATTCTCGTCTACAATACCGAAATTTGTAGCGTATGGTTGTTGAAAATCTTCATTGTAATAACTGTCCAAACTGCTACTGCAAAGACAATTAAAAAAAATGGGGTAAGAAGATGATAAATGCAATTATAAAGAAGATAAGTAAATGCTAAGAGAATGAAAGGGTTCAGGGCTATGGAAGCCTATCGCAATCGGCTGATATCCACCCAATCCGCTGCTTCTCATTGTCGTAAACAACCATTTTGTCTATCATTGAGATGTCTGAGTGAAAAAAAAATCAAATGAGAAAGAGTTCGATAATAGAAGATCCCGAAAAAGGCGGAAAATGATTCATCTATTATTTCTCACCTCCAATTATGTTGAAGTCTCACAATCCTGCTTCCGTGCCGTTCAAGATTCCAAAGCAAGCATTGCCATCTTCCTGGAAACAGAATAGCATATTAGAACTGTCTTACACCTGTGTTCGCTCGTATCATATTGCTGGGAAATCCGTGATTTAGTGCTTACCGTGACAATAAGATACGCTTCTGGCTGTAATTCTAGCTGAACAGTTGGGGTATCTGTAAAGCTCAATGTCAAGGTGCTGAAACGGTTCTTGACATCATGAACTGATTTAAACGGTTTTGTTCCTTTCCAGCAGATCGGGAGAGCTTTATCCTCAACTGTATCAAATGGCTTCCCATTTAAGCCTCTCCTTACCTGAAACATGAAGTACGAGATCGGTTCCTTAAGCAAAGCTTAAAGCTTACTCTCAACAGGGGAACACTCTAACTCGTTTACTTACCAGATTGAGTACAGCTTCGTAAACTTGGAAGTTGAGGTAAGTGTAGGAACTCCCACTGTCAAATACTAGTTTAAGGTCCTTTATACCAGTTGGCTTTCCATCAAAAAGGACTTCTGCTGGACTCGACAAATATTTTTTACTGAAACAAAATGATCAAGGAAGCAGAGATGAGAAAACAAATGTTAACGGTACGGGGAGTTGCTAGAATTTAATCGTGCTTACAAGTTGGCCAACATTGGCATCCAAGACATTCGGGAAGGGACAAGGTCATCTCCTATGAACAAAAATCCTCCACCTTTCCCGCTTAAACAATGACATATTACGTTTCTTGTGAGCTCAAAGCTTCGTAGCTGTGACAATAGGCTTGCTTTGCCATTGCTAAGCCCAAGGACTCCAGCTTCCGGAGGACTGTATGGACCGGGATTTTTAATATCATAAGCACATCTGTAAACAAAGGAAATGAAGATACGATATTCGTTACGAGGAAATGTGTACTTCCACAGCCATTTCAACATATCAGGAAATTATATTCATTAATAGTATTGGAACCATTGCCAAAACTGAAAATTAAGGTTTCTAATCGAGGTAGAAAGCGAAAAGTACACACCCAAAAGTCAAATGCAGACGAGCAAGAGAGCCATTCATAAATCTAAGAGAAAAGACATCAGAAACCACCACGCCAAGAACCGAACCATGATCAAAATAATCAATCTCGAAGTCACATTGATCATCTGCTTTATCGCATCTAGGACTATCAGGGAAGTGAAACACACTGCAGGAAGGATGGTCACAGCTCACAAGGATGTGTTTTTGGGGCTTGTAAAAATGATCAATCGTCTACAAAGACGAGGACATAACAAGACATAGTTCAAGACATGATAGGAATAGACGTCTGCTGAAAACTTTACCTTAGTAAAACCGGTGCAAGGCGCATCGCATTGGACCCAAGTGAGATCACTGCCTGTGTCGATATCGAACTCGAAAACCTTGGGTGGATTGCCTATGGTAAGAGATATGGAATAGTACCTGAGCAAAGCATGAATTTCATGATCCTCAATCATTTGAGACAATAACAAAAGAACAGTACTAAAGATTTTAGAGACAAACAGGGCAACTATTTTTCAATGGAACTACAACATCAAAATTAGAAAACCCCAAGGAAAATTTTCAAGGATTCTTCCAAAAAGTTATACAATCATTAAATCAAGAACGATTTATCATCAAATAGTACTAAGATTTTCCCAGTGGAAAACAAGACTAAGAAGAAAAATCAATAAAGAATCCCATTCAGGCAATAGAACAGACAACAAATATGCACGAAGAAACCTAATGATTGAGAGAAGAAAACATAAAAAAACTTTACATTTCAAAGAAAAAGAAGTTACCCAAGAGGATAAACATTCCCAGTGACAGGAAAAAGAAAAGATGAACGGAACCCATTAGGACCCCTAGTATGGGTTGTCTTTCTGTTGTCGGGTTGCTGACTGGCAGCTGAGGAACACGATGGGAAATTTGCAGACAGTACAAGGAAGAACATCACCATCATCCTCCATGGCACTGTTGCTTTCCTTTTCTTACCATCCATCGTTTTGCTGAGCAAATCCTTTTTTAAAAAATCGACAGAAAGTTGGAATAAATCTGACAAAGCTAAGAAAAAAAGGCGTTTTGTTTGGATTAAAAAGGAGAAATTTGTGAAGAAGCAAAGGGTATAGGAAACAGCTAAAAAATGAATTTAATTTCTGGGTTTTGGCGAGTTTGCAACTTCGTACAGCTTCCACGTTGCTTGTTTTTTTCATTAATAAGATTTTCATTTTTTTGCAGACAGAACAAAATGATTTCGGAACTTTTGTGGAAAAAATGTTAAATTATGCTATTTGTTCCTGTATTACGTGTGAATTTCAGATTTAGTTTCTATGTTTCAATTTAGTCATCTTAGTCCCTATTCTTTTTTAATTTAAAATTTTGATCATGATTTAAGTGGTGGTGGTTTAAACTTTAATCTGCTAAGTAATGTTATGCTATTGGTAATTAAACTATGCGTAAGTTAGAGATTTAGTTTAATTTTTTTGAATTTAATATTTTTTAATTCATACAATTTGATAATTTTAAAAATAAATAAAATTAAATTAATTAATTTATAACTTACGTATAACATATATAATAATGATACAATTTGATTGTATTTTTTTTATAAATTCTTTCTTTCTATCAATTCTTCCATTCATTTATACCTCATCAATATATTATTCTCCAAAATACGTTCTTTGAGCACAAATCAAACGACCTCGTTAGTGAAAGAACTGTTATTGTTCCTTGAAATAATGCATTAATTCGTCCCATTTTCTAGTGACCAAAGAAAAATAGCTTCAACAAGTTGAAATATGAAATGAGTTTAGATTAAAAAAGTTTATTTATTTATTTAGTTAATTGGCATAAAAGTTGCTATACATGTTACAAGAGAAGATTAAGAAATCAGCCAAACTTGGGAGTGCAATCCTCATAAGCCCATCCCATCCTCTGATTCTTGTTATCGTAGATCATCACTTTGCTTTGAAGTGAAATGTCTGGAACAATGACACGACCGAGTTAAGAAGAGACTTAACTCATTTTATGACAATATATGAACACACACTCTTACCTCCAATGACATTGACAGTTCCCAGTCCCACTTCAGTGCCATTCAAAATCCCCAGGCAAACATTCCCTTGTTCCTGAAAAACATGAACTTGTCACATTCCTTTCTCCGAATCGATCGTTTGTTCCGGTTACTCGCAGACGGTTTTCGGAGGTACTTACAGTGACAACGAGATAAGCTTCGGGTGATAGTTGTAGCTGAATGTTACCTGCAAAACTCAATGCCAATGGGCTGAAATAGTTCTGAACATCTTGCACGGATTTGAATAGCCTACTGCCTTTCCAGCAGATTGGAAGAGCTTTATCTTTCACCTCTTGTACTGGCTTTCTACTCGCATCTTTCCTTATCTGCAAAAGGAAAAATAAAGTGAACAATCAAATTCCATGTACCCTTTTTGCATTCATTGATGTTTATTGATGTGAATGTCGAACCAGATTAAGCACGGATCCGTAGACTCCCGAACTGAGGTACGTGTAGGTCGATCCGGTGTCGAAGATAACATGAAGGTCCTTAATGCCAGTAGGTTTCCCATGGAAAAGTACTTCTGCTGGACCTAATGAATAATGTTTACTGAAATGAAAGAAACTTATGTTATGAGGTAACATGGAAGTGTTAAAGAAGGTTAATGAGTCTACGCAAAACTCAATCTGGATTAGTCGATCAATAGATCGGATATCAGTGATTAATTCAGATAAAGAAACATATTGATTGATTGTGGCTCACTCGGATGAACTTTGTGACACAGGTGTCCAGGTCATTCCGGATTTAGGGATGAAATCAGCTCCAAAGAACAGATACCCTCCTTTATCATTGAAACAATGGCCTAAGATGTTTTGTGCTATCCCCATGCTACTCAATTGAGTTGAGATGCTTGGTTTACTCCTTCCGAGTCCGAGGACTCCGGTGGTGGGAGGTGGAGGGTGAGTACCACTGCCGTGTAAACCGTATCCACAACTGCAGATGAGGGAAACACATGGTTGAAATCAGTTGTAAAATTCGAGGGTCGTAAACAGAGACAAAGCGTTTCGAAATATGTAACCAAAGGCCAAATGAGGACGAGAAACCGTGCCATTGACAAGGCGTGGGGAAAGATATCCGAGACGACGGCACCGGAAACTGAAACATGATCAGCATATTCAACCTGGAAGCTACATTTGTCAGTAGGGTTCTTGCATGGAGGAGGATTCGGAGAGTGAACCGCAGCACATATGGGTTCCCTGCAAAGCACGTAATTGTTCTTAGCCGGCTTGTAACGCCGGTAGCGAGGCTGCGAAAAAACCGAAGATCAAAGGCATCAATCATCATAACAATCCTTCATTTCAAATCATCAAAATGGAATGATCATAGTAAAACAATTCACCAGGGTGCAACCAACACAAGGAGCATCACATTGGACCCAAGCGAGGTCGGTATCGATATCGAGCTGAAATTGCTTAGGCGGGTTGCCTATCTCAACTGTCACAGAATAATACCTGATGATCGATGGAAACAGAAACTCCATGAATTTCAGAGGATAATTTGCAAAGAAACAAATAAAGAGAGAAAGAAAGAAAGGAGTACCCAAGAGGATAGACATTACCAGAAACAGGAAGATAAACAGAAGAGCCAAAACTATTAACAGCCATTGGATGGAGAGTGGATCTATTGCTAAGAGGTTGGCCATTAACGATTGCTGCAAAACAGCCATGTAAAGATGAACAAAGAACAGCATGAAAGATCAGCACTTTGATCATCAATGTTCTTTCTTTCAGTTTCTGAACAGCCATTTCAACTAAGAGGATTAAAAAATAATATGAAAAATCAACTTCCAAGAAACAAAAGAAAGGATTTCTAGGAATAGAGAGCAAAAGGGTACTTAATGAACCACTGAAAACACTGAGAAATTCGTGAGGGGACTTCCTTGAGACTCTTGAATTTATAGCTGCGAAACATGGATTTAAATTACGGTTGGAGTCGCGTTTTTTATTACGTTATTTATCGTAATTGTGAGCATAATAATATTATTACGGTTATTACAAATATTACGGTCATATAATAGTGATTTCGGGTGATATCATTATTATTATATAACAACTATTATTCTGATAGCAAATCATTATTTACATCTTTAGGTACTCTCCTTTCAGTTTCTTCTCTTTTTTTTAAATAATTTTTTTATGTTGATGAAGTTTATTTTTTTTTTTAAAATAAAAAGATTTAAAAAGGAAAACCGAGGGAATTTAGAAAGGGAAAAGGAATCTTTATGGACTATAATAGTAAGAAAAAATTGAAAAAATGTTTTTTTCTTCTAAATTAAGTTGGTTTAATTTTTATTTCATTAATAATTAAGTTTATTTCAATTTTAGAAATTTCTTGACTGATTGGGAGATATTTTTTATATGTCGTCCCTTAAATAATTAATTAAGTTTTGTTGAGTCATCTACTATTAAAAGTTACAAAACAATTTCTCGATTATAGGACGTTACTCTGTTGAGTCACGATTATTAAAAGTTATAAAATGGTCACTCCAATATTTATACGTTCCAAACTCATCATTTTTTGTTAAAAGATTGACGGTCGTCTTAGCTGGACGTTAATATGATAACTGTGATATGATAAAATCTTATCCCTGAATTGTTTGAACTATATAGTCATTTAAGATTCTGAGATCAGATTTTATCATATCTCAATCAACATGTTAACATTCAACTTAAACGAACGTCTATTTGTGTACTTTACCTTAAATTTTAGTAATAAACATTTTATTTCTAGAATTTTAAACTTTGTTAGAGTATGCTAAAAGTGTCTCGAATGAATAATTAACACATTCTAATGCGAAAAGAATTACCTACACTGAATATTAATATTATGTGTACGAATGTCAGTGAATAGAATGTTTGACAAAATATTTGTGAATCGTTTATGTCCATTTATTAAGTTAAATAAACTAATATGAATAAACTTTTTATATTCATTTAATAAACGAATGAACACATACATATGCGCGTTCAAATATAACTCTCAACCATTTGACATTGAACGCTCACATCCCTGACGTTCATGATGCTCGAACCCAGAATCTCAAGAAATAACAACAATTATTTTACCACCGAGATCTCTTGGTTCATACATATTCACGAATGTTAGATAAACATGTTCGTTAACGCTAAATAAACGAACACAAACACATTTATAGATAAACAAACAAAGATAAAAGTAATTTTATTCCTTCAAGCTCAATTCATTTACACTCTTAATTATGCACGAGGGGTATGTTTGGTTGTCATATCAAAACCCTAGCTAAAGTCATTGAAGGGTATGTTTGGATGCTGAGAAAATATCTGAAATGGGAGGAAATGGGAAGGAAAATATTTTTTTCTAGGTTTGTCTTTGTTTTCCTAAAGATTGATCCTTTTTTAGCATGATTGGTGATGCAATTCATTTTATTCTTGGATTTGAGGTTCATCGACATTGCTTACATTATTTTTGACAAATTGTTTTCAAGATCATTATGTTTGAGTTTCTTGTTTTTTGCTCCATGTTAGTAAAGAGGAAGCTAAGAAAAAATACCACTAATCCAACACTTAGCTCTGGAACAAAAAATTAAAGCCTAAAATAAATTTGCAGTAATTAACTAAGGATGGGGGTGATGATGATGTAATCAAATGCTAAATTGATAGAATTTATAAATATACGGGATTAAATTTATTAAATTGTTTTTGAATTATGACTAAATTAATAAAATTTTATCAATTCTAAGAATTATATTATTATTATTATTATATCAAATCATGTCATCGTCTTAATTAACTCTTTAATGATCATTAGTTTTGACATTAAAGTATAATTTAATTAATAAAGGTTTTTTTTTTTAAAAAATATAATCAATTTAATAATTTAATGACTAAATAAATAGTTTATATTAACCCTTTGACCATGAATACTTATATCCTTGCCTAGGTAGTACTTGGATTTGAGACTTCAAAAGATGACAATAAATTCTTTAACTACATAGATCGTTTGATTCGTGATATTAAATATGGTTGTTTGGTCTTT